CTCTCTCTCTCTCTCTTCTACTTACTCTCTCCTCTCTCTCCCTCTCTTCTCTCCTCTCTTTTCTCTCTCTCTCTCTCTCTCTTCTTTTTTCTCCCCTCATCATCTCTCGTCTTCTCTTCTCTCTCTTCCCTCTCTCTCCTCTCTTCTCCCTCTCTCTCTCTCTCTCTCTCTCTTTCTCTCTACTCTTTCTCCATCTCTTCTCTCTCTCATGTTCTCTTCTCTCTCCTCTCTCTCTCTCTCTCTCTCTCTCTCTCTCTCTCTCTCTCTCTCTCTCTCCCTCTCTCTCCCTCTCTCTCTAATCTAATCTACGTGTGTTATATATATAACCATGACGTACGTTGCAGACGATCATCGGTTCTGTAACCGCGTGCAGGACGCGTACACGCTGCGCTGCGTACCTCAGGTTCACGGCATCGTCAACGATACCGTAGACTTCGTGCGCGGTATCATTACGACGGAGATCAACAGCGCTACGGACAACCCCGTATCCTTCACTGCAGCACGCACGCACGCACGCACGCACGCACGCATGTACGCACGCACGCACGCATTCACGCACGCACGCACGCACGCACCCACACGCACGCTTGTACGCGGGCGCATGTACGGCCACACATGTACGCACACATGCATGCATCACGCCACACAACACACGCACACACACATACACGCACGCACGCACACACGTAAGCACGCCAACACGCACGCACGTACGCACGTACACACACACACACACACACACACACACACACACACACACATACACACACACACACACACACGCGCGCGCGCGCGCACACACACACACGTGCGCACACACGCCCGCTTGTATGCACGTAAGCACACACACAAATAAATATAACATTATTATGTATACTATACCATTAAGTGTAAGCTTTCTTAACTGGCCGCTAGATGGTGTTTGCTGACCGTGGAGAGATCATATCTGGCGGCAACTTCCACGGAGAGTATCCAGCCAAGGTAAAACAAAGAGCAGAACAGAGGGGAGCGGGGACGAAATAAACAAAAATAATAACATCACCCCAACAAAACCTCAAGACTTCACCTCACAAGGTTTCACCGATAGATCGACGAACAATCGCTAAGCTTGTATGTTGGCGAGATACGACAAGGTACGAATTTGTCATCATCGTGACCTTTGACCGCTGACCTTTGGCCTTTCGCAGGCGCTCGATTACCTCGCCATCGGCATACATGAGATAGCAAACATGAGCGAGAGACGTATAGAACGACTCGTCAACTCCGGTAAGGTTTACGCTCTCACGCTCTCACGCTCTCACGCTCTCACGCTCTCACGCTCTCACGCTCTCACGCTCTCACGCTCTCACGCGCATATGCTAACTGTGAGAAGGATAACAATGTTAATGAAGATGATGGCGATGATGATGATGATGGCAATGATGATAATGGCGGTGGTGATGATGGTGACGATGACGATGGCGATTATTATGATGATGGCAATGATGCTGGTCCACGTTGCCGATAATTCAGATTGTGATTAAAATGCTGATTATGATGATTATTCTTTATTATTCCTAATATTAATATTATCTATTATAATATTACAATCTTAATTATTATTAATAATTTTGTTATTGTTATTATTATTATAACAATTATAAAAATCTTTCCGCATGCCCCGTACGTGAGTTATGTGTTAGTTACGTGGTGACAGTGGCAAGCTGACGGTTGTCTCTGCGTGCGTGCGTGCGTGCTCGTGTTTTCTAGCGTACAGTGAGCTTCCGGGATTCCTTGTGAAGAACGGAGGGCTTCATAATGGCTTCATGGTTGCACACTGCACGGCAGCATCGCTCGGTAAGCTTCCTCTTTTAGCCGTAACCATGGCAACGCACATCGTAACAATCACGGTGACAATCATATCGTAACCATGGTAACGCGTATCGTAACAATCACGGTGATAATCACACTGTAACCGTAGTAACGCGTATCGTAACAATCTCGGTATAATCACACATGTACAGTTAGGCAACGCGTATGCGTAACAATCACCGGTGATAATAAGCCACATGTAACCGTAGCAACGCCGTATACGTAACATCCGGTAGATTCACACTGTAACCGTAGGCAACGCGTATTGCGACAATCACCGACAACGATCCCATCTGCTGGTTAGCGGCGCATTAATGCATAATGTGCTGGTGTCAACAACAACAACTAAGCCAACAAACAACAACAACAACAAACAAAACACTCGGTGACGTTTGTTCGATGAATGTCGAACGACGCGTTTCTCACGTGACGCGCCGGTAAACCAACAACAACAACAACAACGGCGGTGTTGTTGATTACGTCGGAACAGTTCGGAGAACAACGGCCTGTGTATCGCCGTCGACTCGATCGAACTCTCTGACGACGAGTGGCGGACAGGAGGACCACGTCTCGATGTGGCGGCTGGGCGGCGAGGAGGCGCTGATATGTCATCGAAACCACGTCGAGTACGGGTAAGTGGCTCTATCTAGCGGATGTTTACAGAGTGTTATAGTCCGGCAAGGATGTGTGTGTGAGGGAGGACGTAAAGCGCCATCTGGCGGATGTATTTACGAAGTTTATGGTCATGGGGGCATCGTGTTAGACGAGGAGTTAGGCGCTCCCCTGGTAGACGCGCGCGTTAAGTTTTTATGGCCAGGCAAGATCAGTGTTGAGGGAGAAGTAAGCTGCCGTCTGGGCTGGGGAAAGGGGGGAATGTTTATCTAAGCTGGGTACTGTGTTTGCCATCGGCAGCTTCGACGTAAGAGTAAATGAATCGGTTTTTGGTTAAAGTTTGAAGAGGCGATTGCGTTAAGATTAGAGGGAACCAATATATTGGGATCTAGTTAATTCATACGAGGATTGCAGAACGAAGACAGAGACATACGAAGATAAAACGTAATAGATTATGTCTGATAAGATATAGTTAGAGACAAGCTAGATAGAGAGAGAAAGAGAGGCGTGAGGATGGGACGGAGGAGGGACGAGAGAAGCAAGCGACGAGAGAGAAAGACGTAGCGAGCGAGAGAGAGAAGAGGAGGAAGAGAGAAGAGGGAGACGATGTGAGAGAGTAGAGAGAGAGAGGCGAGCAGAAAGAGAGGAGAGAAACGAAGAGAGAGGAGAGCAGCGAAGAGAGGGGAAAGAAAGAGAGAGAGAGAGAGAGAGAGAAGAGCAAGAGAGAGCGAGAGAGAGAAAGAGAGGGAGATGAGAGAGGAGAGAGAGAGAGCAGAGAGAGAGAGAGAGAGAGAGAGGAAGAAAGGAGATAGAGCGGACGAGAGACGCGAAGGAAAGATGGAGCGTCAGTTAGTTCGCCATAGACAATAACAGAATGCCTATTGCTCTCTCTCTCACACGGCCGACGCGCCTGTCGCTGCAGGTCGTCGCCATAGAGCTGACTGTGCGCATGTCAGGGCAAATTAGAGTTGGCTCACGACCGCTGAGATGACAACCGCTCACTAGAGAGGTTTACAAATTGTCCCGCTCGGTTGTCAGTAAAGTATTCACCAGTGGCGCCATTCTATCCTTGCTCTATCAGGGGTTTACTGTGAGATGTTTGTTTTTCGATGAGAGCCAATGCGTGATCAATTTCGTATTTGATTCACATATTTATATGGATAGACATCACAAGACACACACACACACCACCACCCACAACACACACACACACACACACAACACTACACGCACGCCACGCGCACGCGCACCTACCGCCCACACGCACAGCACACACACACCACAGCACGCAACGGCACACGCACACGCACACACACACGACGCACATGCAACACCGCACACGCACCGAACACGCAGCCGTACACGCCGACACCACACACAACACACACCACACACATCCACACCACACAACGCACACACACACACACACACCACACACCACACACAAACCCGCACACGCACGACGCACCACGCACCCACGTACACACCACGCACCCCGCACACGCCACACGCACCGCACACGCACAGCACACGTACACGCACACGCACACGCCCACACACAGCACACCACACACACCACACACACACATGTATTATATTTTATATATATATATATATATATGTCCATTTACTAATAATATATTATGTTTTAGTAATTTCGTGTTTCTCTGTGCAGAGCGTGGCGATGGGACCGTGACATGGCCGCCCTGACATCGACAGCCGCAGTGACTACTGCCAAGGAACGAAAGGTATTTCCTTTCTCTCTATTTCTCTCTCTCTCTCTCGTCTTCTCTCTCTCTCTTTCTCCCTTTCTCTCTCTCTCTCTCTTCCTCTCTCTCTCTCTCTCTCTCTCTCCTCTCTTCTCTCTCTCTTACTCTCTCTAGTTTTCTCTCTCATCTCTTTCTTTCTGCCTCTTTCACTTTCGCGTCTACTCTCTTCTGCTCAATCTCTCGTTTCCTAATCTATCTACCCTTCTCTCATCTCTCTGTCTCTGTCTCTCTCTCTTCTCTCCCTATTATCTACCTTCTCTTATCTCTGTCTCTGTCTCTCTCTTCTTTTTCTGGTCTCTACCTCATTTCCCCTCTCGCTCTCTATTTCTCTTCATCTCACATCTCTATCTGCTCTCTCTGGAGTGTGCTGGCAGACTGTGGTGCCACGGTTGCGTGCATGCGTCTGCGTTGCGTGACCCACAGTGCGTGCAGAATGCGTGCAGTGCGGTCAGTCGTATCATCGTTGATCACCTCTGTAGCGCGCGTCTACAGTGTTGTCGTATGCGTACCGCTGTATTCTACCTACCAAGAGTGGAAACGCCGTGAATTCGATGCATTCGGACAGTAAGCGACTTCGCAGACACCATGACACCTACACTACCCGTCATCTCACTTCTCTCATTTCTCGTGCATCTGCTCTCTCTTCTCTCTCTCTTTCTTTCTTCATGTGTTTGGTGTGCGTGTGTGTAGCCGCGAGTATTAGTGCTTGTATCATCTCCATGTACAATGTGTGATATTGCGTACTGTATGTAGTTATATGCGACCTGA